TTGGATGGCCATTTAAATTAGGGATGATTGATTAAGATTTAAATTCCTCTTCCATGATACCTTCAGTAGTGTGAATCCTACTCACATAATCATAAAAAATTAATGCATGTATATCTTGCCTAATAGGTTCTGCCACGTTAGCCCTATCCTCAGTCCATGTCCTCTATGCGTTCTCCTCCTCCGCCTCCTCCACATCCATCAACACTCGCATGGACCATCCCTCGGAAAAGATCAGGCCAAAATGACGACCTCTCGGTTTTCGATACTTAGGACCCAAGACATCGTTTTGGAACCATAATCCATAGGGTTGATCACCATCCGTTAGTGTCTCCTTATGGTATAGTCCACACTCTTTTTCTCCATGATCCATCATTTCGCAAAGATAGCATGTAATAGGAAGCCGTTCATATATGAGTTGTACCCATTCTGCAATTCCAACAGCATCCGACAGCCGTAATGCTAGCCATTGATGTAGAGGCGTGCCAATATCCAAAATCACCCAAATTCGGAGACAGCTCCCAAAACTTCACCTAGCCGACTTTGGTCTGTTACCACATAAGTGCTTAGCACTTCACCAATCAATTTACCCATAGCACAAGTCATGAAAACTAAAGGCAGACCCTTAACTTGAACCCAAAATTCACGTCGTCGTAATGACATCGACATAGCATCAAGTAGTCTATCCGTCGTTGCCAACACCAGTAAGGAATGGTTGAAAGTCTTGTTATGAAACGAAAAGACGAACTTGTCATCCTCAAGTTCAATAATCTACACTTGTGCCTTCGACAATCTGCACTCGTGCCTTTGATGAAAAGAAAAAAAATATCCAAATTTTAGTAAACAAAAACCCAATACTTCAAAAAGTGCAAAATACAACGATTGGGCCATTAACTAAGAAAAAAAACTTGTAATTGGGCCAACATTGAAATAATGATAGACATTATGAATTGAAGGACGACCCAAATTTATTTATAGGCTTAAAATCATTTTAGTCGCTCTAACCCCAAAGTCAAACAATGGCTTTGGCACTTTGCTTGAAAATTTCCTCTACTTCTCTAACTATATATAATGTTAAGACATAGCAACATGGTGTGAAGAATGTGAATGTGTTATAACTAAACAAGAATAGAGAAATAAAGAGAATTCACATATTTGTTCATAGACCCTTACATTTATTGAGAGATGACGATGGAAAGAGCTGCACCTTATTGCGGTTATTTAGAATGTGATGATCTTCATTAGGAGACCCAGTAATTTATTGAGATGATGAAGATAAAAGATGAACTTTCTTGGGTTCATGCAAAGAGGTATTTGAAGGCCATGAAAGAATGTCATCATCATCTTGCTGTTGCTTATAACCCTGTACAACATGATTGTACAAAGCATGTGGAGGTTGATCGAAATTTCATTAAAGAAAAGTTGGATGCGGAGATTGTTTCCTTCCCATTCATCAATTCTGAGTATCAGTTAGCAGATGTCCTTACGAAGGCTGTTTCTACTAGTATCTTCCACAACTCGCTTGACAAGTTGGGTATGAGTGATGTCTTTGCTCCAACTTGAGGGGGAGTGTTGGCGAGATATCCTAGTCTTATTAGGATATTTCTTTCTTATTCTATTAGGATTTTATTTGTTTCCTTTTTGTATAGATATTAGGGAGTTTCACTAAAACACCCAAAATGGGAGCTGAAATTATAAAAAAATCCAACACCCAAAACACTTTATAAACACACCCAAAACCCATCATTACACACACTCAAAACCCATTTATAAACACACCCAAAAAATATACAATTGTTGACTTTGGGGTTGATTTTGAGTGTGTTTCTATGTTTAAATAGTGTTTAGGTTTTTTAATAAATACATGTCTATTTATTTGTTTCCTTTTTTATAGATATTATGTATTTAGGACTTTTCTTATTTCCTAGTATAACCCTACTAGGGTTTGTAACATTGTATTATAAATATCTCCTTTCGGAGAATGAAATACATCTGAAAAATATTATACCCATATTGTTTGACTCATGAGACTGAGTTAGATTAAAATACGTACTGCCCAAGTACCCAAATCATTGCATAGTCGAAAAAAAGAGATTGTGCTAGTTCTCTAAGTATTCAAGTGTTGGACTTCTAATCTTTGAATTCAGTAGAAAATAGGTGTGAATTAAGAAGACTACCCCTGAGACTCATTGATATCCATGCATTATCAATATATATATTCTTCAAATGTGTGTGCCTAGTTTGTCGTTGCATCACTTTGCACAAATCAGCCCACTGAGTAGATATATGCAACTCAAAATTGCCAATAAGTTGCAATTGATTCTTGCTAAATTATTGGAAACTCGTAAGGAGTTTGTCGATGAAATAATTAAGAGCATTTACTCGTATACGTTCTAAGTTTGATTCTTCTTTCTTCTAATATCCCTCGTAATCTTGTATTCAAAGTTTTAAGTTCGATTCTCCCATTCCCGAATATCGCTTGTATAAAATAATAATAATAATAATAACAATAAAACTAATTGAATACATATGTGTTGTGTTGTGCTTGTGTGTGTGGGTTTGTGTAATTTGCGGGGTACATAAACATAACAATGATTTTCGACCTTTCAACAAACAGATATAAAAAGCTCAAGTGATTTTATGACCTTTCAACGAACAGATGTAAAAAGCTCAAGTTGATCCAAAGTACCATAAACATCACAGACATCACTGGGTTTTGTCAACCCTTTCCTGAGATCACCGACTGTCTTGAGGTTCAAAGACCATTTCGGCAGACCCAAAAAAGCACTCCCTCAGTCTCTCTCTAGTGAAGCTCAACTTTTTTGCTAAGCCCATATGGTGCCACCACCGCCTAAATAGCTTCACTATTAATGAAGCAAATTGATTGAGTATACACACACGTAAAGTTCATCAATGCAGAGAATATAATTTGGTACTGAATGAGAACCAGCTATATAACTTATAAGTAGTGGGTATAGATAAAAACACATGCCACTTTAAAATTCTTGGAAAATAGGCCATCTTATTTCTGGGTTGTAAATTAATTGTCAAAATCATTCATTTTTAGCTTATTTTTCAAGGAATATGCGAAAAATAAATAAATAAATTTTGACAAAAAAAAAAGAAGAAGCTAAATTTGAAAAACATCAAAGCGAAGCAATCATAGTTTATTTCATTTGTTTGGTTGAGGTATTTGTCTTCCTTTATAT